TTATTGACATATGGAATCTAATTAAACTAAAGAACTTCTGCACAGCAAAAGAAGCTATCAACAGAGTAAACAACCTGCAAATGGAGAAAATTTTTATAAATTATGCATCTGACAAAGGTCTAATATCCAGAATCTATAAGGAACTTAAACAAATTTACAAGAGAAAAACAAACAGCCCTATTAAAATGTAGCCAAAGGACAAGAACAGACTTCTCAAAAGAAGATATACATGCAGCCAACAAGCATATGAAAAATATGAAAAAAAAAAAAGCTTAACATTACTGATCATTAGAGAGATGCAAATCAAAACCACAATAAGATACCATCTCACAACAGTCAGAATGGCTATCATCAAAAAGTAAAAAAGTAACTGGCAAGATGTTGATGAGGTTGCAGCAAAAAAGGAATGCTTATACACTCTTGATAGGAGTGTAAATTATTTCAACCATTGTGGAAAGCAATGTGGTGATTCCTCAAAGAATTAAAAATAGAACAACAATTTGACCCAGAAATACCATTATGAGGGATATACCCAAAGGAATATAAATTGTTATATCATGAAGGCACATGCACACATATGTTCACTGCAGCACTTTTCACAATAGCAAAGACACAGAACCAACCTAAACGCCTACTAACGGTAGACTGGATAAAGAAAATGCGGTACATATACACCATGGAATAGTATGCAGCCCTAAAAAAGAATGAGATCATGTCCTTTGCAGGAACATGGGTAGAGCTAGAAGCCATTAACCTTAGCAAACTAACATGGGAACAGAAAACAGAATATGCTTAAAGGTATGCATATTATCACTTATAAGTGGGGGCTAAATGATGAGAACACATAGAGGGGAACAACAGACACTGGGGCCTAATGAAGGGTAGAGGGTAGGGGGAGGGAGAGGATCAAGAAAAATAACTAATGGGTACTAGGCTTAATACCTGGGTGACAAAATAATCTGTATAACAAACTCCCATGACACAAGTTTACTACATAATAACCCTGCACATGTACCCCCAAACATAAAAGTTTAAATATATATATATATTTTATTAATTTAAATTTCAAATTAAATAGCCACATGTGGCTAGTAACTACAATAGTATACAGTATGTTATTTATATTTACATGAGTTAAAATACATAAAATACTTAGAACAGTATTTGGCAGATAATCCATACTTACTTGTGTTTCTTGTTGTTATTGTTATATGATTTTGTGCTTAAAGTATGTTTTGGAAGATAGGTTATATAATTGTGGACACCGTGCACTGCCGGTTTTCCCTTCTTCCACCTTTGCCTATTTTTACAATCACAATGGTGCAAATTTGGACTTATGCCAAAAATTTTTCCAAAGACACATGATACAAAGAAAACTAAATTCTTCATTTCTGAATCTCATGTCAAATAAAGAAAACTGAACATGGGCACTGAACCTATTTTACATATTGGATAAGAAAAATCAGTTTTATTTTTTAGTTTCACAGAATTGCAATCTGTATTTATAACACCTTATTAACTACTTGCTTTAAGCAGTTTAGGGTGCATATAACTTGCACCTGAAGAAAAATTTAAATACCCTTAAGAGTACTCTCCTTTGGGTGTATACCTAGTAATGGGATTGCTGGGTCAAATGGTATTTCTGGTTCTAGATATTTGAGGAATTGCCACACTGTCTTCCACAATGGTTGAACTAATTTACATTCCCACTAACAGGGTAAAAGCGTTCCCATTTCTCCATATCCTCTCCAGCATCTGTTGTTTCCTGGCTTTTTAATGATCACCATTCCAACTGCCCTGAGATGGTATCTCACTGTGGTTTTAATTTGCATTTCTCTAATGACCAGTGGTGATGAGCTTTTCTTCATGTTTGTCGGCCACATAAATGTCTTCTTTTGAGAAGTGTCTGTTCATATCCTTCATCCACTTTTTGATGGGGTGGTTTTTTTCTTGTAAATTTGTTTAAGTTCCTTGTAGATTCTGGATATTAGCCCCTTGTCAGATGGATAGATTGCAAAAATTTTCTCCCATTCTGTAGGGTGTCTGTTCACTCTGATGATAGTTTCTTTTGTTGTGTAAAAGGTCTTTAGTTTAATTAGATCCCATTTGTCAATTATGGCTTTTGTTGCCATTGCTTTTGGTGTTTTAGTCATGAAGTCTTTGCCCATGCCCACATCCTGAATGGTATTGCCTAGGTTTTCTTCTAGGGTTTTTATGGTTTTAGGTCTAACATTAAAGTCTTTAATCCATCTTGAGTTAATTTTTGTATAAGGTGTTTAAGGAAGGGGTCCACTTTCAGTTTTCTGCCTATGGCTAGCCCATTTTCCCAACATCATTTATTAAATAGGGAATCCGTTCCATATTGCTTGTTTTTGTCAGGTTTGTCAAAGATCAGATGGTTGTAGATGTGTGGCGTTATTTCTGAGGCCTCTATTCTGTTCCATTGGCATATGTGTCTGTTTTGGTACAAGTACCATGCTGTTTTGGTCACTGTGGCCTTGTAGTATATTTTGAAGTCAGGTAGTGTGATGTCTCCAGCTTTATTCTTTTTGCTTAGGATTGTCTTGGCTATACAGGCTCTGTTTTGGTTCCACATGAAATTTAAAGTTTTTTTTTTTCTACTTCTGTGAAGAAAGTCAATGGTAGCTGGATGGGGATAGTGTTTAATCTATAAATTACGTTGGGCAGTAATCATTCCACTATAAAGACACATGCCCACACACGTTTATTGTGGCACTGTTCACAAAAGCAAAGACTTGGAACCAACCCAAATGCCAGTAATTGATTGACTGGATAAAGAAAATGTGGTACATATACACCATGGAATACTATGCAGCCATAAAAAGAACGAGTTCCTGTCCTTTGCAGGGACATGGATGAAGCTGGAAACCATCATTCTCAGCAAACTAACACAGGAACAGAAAACCAAACACAACATGTTCACACTCATAAGTGGGTGTTGAACAATGAGAACACATGAACACACGGAGGGAACATCACACACTGGGGCCTGTTGGGGGATGAGGGGCTAGGGGAAGGAGAGTGTTAGGACAAATACCTAACGCAGATGAGGGGATGAGGGGTTGATGGGTGCAGCAACTCACCATGGCACATGTATACCTATGTAACAAACCTGCATGTTCCGCACATGTATCCCAGAACTTAAAGTAGAATTAGAAAAAAAAAAAAAAGAAAAAAAAAGTACGCTCATCTCTGTTCTTTGTTGATTTTCTGTCATTAACCTGTATTTGGGGTTCCTTATATGTCACAAATTCTCTCAATATCCCTGTGAAGCAGGCCAGTTGAAGTTGTAGAATAATCTTTATTATCTTTTGTGTAAGGAATTGAATTTTCCTACATTTTTCATGTAGTAGCCTCAAGAGTTCTTTACTGAGACCATAGCTGAATTTTAATTCTATTCTTTTTAAAAGAATACTGTATGCTTAAGCAAATATGCTAAATCTATGTGGATAATATTAGCAGTTTTAAGCTAAAACAAATGCAACTTTCAAAAGCGTCTATGTCCCACAATTCCGGATTCAGACTGAGTCAAGGACAAGAACAACACCTGCTACTACTACTGATCTTTCCTCGTTTGAATATTTCCGAAATCAAAAACGTTAGTGTCAATATGAAAGCAGCAATTAGAAAAAGATAATACAGAGCAAAACAATAATGCATTCAAAAAATTAATTTAGATAAAATTTGAGATTTACTGCAAGATGATAAATACTATTTCCCCGCCAGTCTGTACTTTTACAAAAGGCACTAATAGAATAATGAAACTTACACAGCATACAACTGACTTTCTATTCTGCTTAGAAATGTCCCAGATAATCGCGTGGTAGTGACTCCCAGCTTTTTCTCCTCTTCAACCCCTTGAGGGCAAGGGCTGGGCAGATTGCTAATCCATTCTATCTAAATCCCCTGAAGTGATTGCGGGGCACATTACTAGAGAGAGGAACATTCCTTTCCTTTAGATGCTGATTGCTGCCTAATAGATATAATCTCCTTCACCTTTCCTAACTTCAATGTCATTTAAGCACCTACAGTCATCTGCTTCACAAGGTGCCTCACAGATACTCTCAGCCCCAAGGGAATAAGCGAAGGGTTCCAGCCAATCACGGTGGGTGGCCGCATTGCCTTCGAAGTAACTGGCTCAGACTGAGCGCCACGTCTATGCTGGCCAATAAGAAGAGTGCTGTGGCGAGAAGTGCGTGGGGGAAGGGATTTTCCTCCTGGTCAAAAGTGAAAAGCAGAAAGAAATGGGCCTCTCTGCCTCCGAACTTTACTGCGAACATAACGATGCTGCAGCTCATTGTGCTGGAGCCCTCACCTAAGCTGTAGGGGAGCTAGCCTGAGAGCACAGGCTGGGAAGTGAAACTCAGCAACCGATAAGGTCCTTACTGGGGTCATGGAAGTGTTCCAGCGACCATTCTAACAGGGGCTCCATCTCCTAATTTCCTGGTTTGTGGGGTAATGATTGTCACACGATTCAAGACATTCGCTTGGGGGGTTTTCAGTTTCTTGCAGCTACAAGCTTCTTAACTCCTAGCTTTAGCATTATTTTTATGTCTGTAGAAAAGTATTAATTATTTGAAAAAGGCAAGAATAGGAGGATAATTTATCACATTTTTTTTACAACATGCTGAAACAACTTATGATTATGTTGCCTTGGATTGCTGTGATTTGTCCATTTCTACCCGTATGTATACCAAGTCAGTTCACCTGTGTTTCCAAGCTGTACGGCAAAGAAAGCATTTTAAAACTTCTTTGTATTCAGAATCTGAAACAAATTGATTCATCATTTAAAAAAAGATAAAATCAAAGCAAAACAAGAAACTTGATTAAGTAGTAATTTTATTAAAATATTCAGATGTTCAGTGAAGATAAGGTACTGATTCTGATTCCATATAAACATTCTCCATATTCTGTAAGAAGATTCATTCATAAATGTTATAATTACACTGGCATTTAAATCCTTTCTCTTTTTACCATTGTAGAAGATGAGTTTCTATTAGATTGTGGAGACTTCAATTTTCTAGCAACTACACATTTTGGATCAGACTTGGTCTCGATGCTGCTGTTTGAGATGATGTGACAGGGTGTCCAGGCTTCCTGATGTTGTGCCATATAATGGATTTGAGAAGGAATAGACAGAACTCTGAAGATGAAAAACACATTTGAAAGGGTAGAATTTTAGGCATTAAAATAAGAAACCTCTTTAAAGATCACGCAGAATGCAGCAAAGGTCCTAATGGATTTTCACTGGAGTAATAACTAGAACATCCTGGAGTCTTCCTCCAGCACTTACAGCCCACACTGCTTGAGTTTCTGACACAAGCCTAGATTCCATGTATCCTGGGGTCCTCTGGACTTAGGCACCACTGCCTCACCTCTGGTGAGGTGGGGAAATGCAATGACCAATATTTTGACTACTTCTTTCTCTGATGCTGGTTTCACTGAGGCTTCTGTATTGAATATAGTTAGGTTAGACAAAACAAAACAAAACCAATGACTTTAAGTATACAAAGCCATTTTATGTAAGTTTAAATGCCATTTCATTTAAGTTTCAGGAAAACCTAAACTTTGTGAAATTCTATAGGACAAGCAGCCTGGCTTTTTCAACAAATAATGTGCAAGAAAAAAAAATAAGAGAGAGAAAATAGAACCTAGAGATGAAAAGAGATTTAAGAGACATATCTACCCATTTGGATGCATCTACCTTCTAAAATTTCCGATTTTTAAAATATAGCAACAACAACAAAACCCGCATAGAAAACCTTTTACATTTTAATGAGGCAATTGGGGTAGGTTGAATAGTGAGTGTTTGATGGCCTCAAGACATTCTTGTTAAATGTTTAGGTATGATCCTGCCGTTATATTTTTAAAAGTCCTTGTCCTTTAAAAACACAACTGGAATCTTTACGGTTGAAATTAAATGATATCTGAGATTTATTTGAAAACCTTCTGGAGGGTGAGGAAATGGAGGGCAGTAGAGGTGAAACAGCAATGACCATGGGTTGATAGTCCTTGAAGCTGGCTGATGGGTACATGGCAGTTGCTTACAATGAATATTGCCATGAATATTGGCATGAATTGCCAATGAATGTTGCCATGAATATTCTCTCCATTTCTGTATCAGAATGTGAGAGTTTTCTCCAACAATTAAAAAAAAAAAAGTTTGAAGGATAGATTTAGAGAAGTCTATCTTTCTGATGATAGGGAAAGTAGACCTAGTTTGATTAATACAAAGTCATTTGCTTCTGAAACAATATAGAAATCAAAATAGCCACAAAGGCCAGGAGATGTGCCAGGATTTATTCTTTAGCCATTCATAATGAAAGGAAAACAGAAAACGAAAAAGGAATTTTTCTTTTATCAAAATAGAAAATAAACATAAATCACTTCCGAGGTGCTCTCCAGTCATCCATTACGCCACCACACTCACACACAGTGGAAACCATCTTGAAAGTAGATTGAAAGGTGGGTCTTTGATGGAGACCCCTCCTGTGCTTGCTGAGAAGTACAGATCTGAATGCAACAGAACCCATCTCCGTAGAAAGTAAATAATCCATAACACCTACCGAGCCACTTTTTACTTACTACAAGTTTATGAGACACTAATAAAAAAATATAAAATTTAAAATATCTCACTTTAATTCCCTATCTCAGGCAGTAGAAAGTTAAACTAAGTTGAGGATAAAAAATACTAAATGTTCTGACCAGCTACAGTGGCTCATGCCTGTAATCCCAGCAGTTTGGGAGGCCGAGGATGGTGGATCACCTAAGGTCAGGAGTTCGACATCAGCCTGGCCAACATGGTGAAACCCTGTCTCACTAAAAATACAAAAATTAGCCAGGTGTGGTGACAGGCACCTGTAATCCCAGGTACTCAGGAGGCTGAGGCAGCGGAATCACTTGAACCCAGGAGGTGGAGGTTGCAGTGAGTCAAGATCATGCCATTGCACTCCAACCTGGGAGACAAGAGTGAAACTCTGTCTCAAAAAAATAATAATAAATTTTCTTTCTCTAGTAAAAATGAAAATATATTTATATTATACCATCCTAGTTTGTCAAAAAGATATATTACATTTGTTTTCTTAAATATGTATGTGTTTTTTATCCATGAAGTAGGTCTACCTTTTCATTTTTACTCTGTCTTACTTGTTGAATCATCTAAATTCATTTTCTCTGTGCTTTAGGAAATCGTTTACTTCCTGTTTTCATTCCTAGCAAAACAATACTAAAAGTGTGTATCATATCATTATTGATTAAAATGCAAAAATAAAAAAGTCAAGTGTTTTGTTAGGCTTCAACCACAGCACTCAAGGCTCTTAAACTACTAGAAACCACCTGACCTGATACCTTGCTACTCATTTTCATAACCAAGAGCAAGATAAAAAACTATGACCTATTTTCATAAAGAAAAAGAATAATTAAAACTTTAGCTTTATATAATACTAATTTTATAAGAAGTGAATTTTATATAGCTCTAAAATCAGATGTAATAAAACTTTTAGAGTTCAGAAGTGGTGTGTCATAACTAAATTTACTTTATATCCAGATGAAGTCTCATAACACTTAAGAAAGGAATGGGAAAAATAAAAAGAAAGGAATGAGATATTGATCAAAGAGTGCAAAGTTTTTGTGCAAGATGAATAAATTCTGGGGATCTAATGTATGACGTGACTATAATACTGTGTGATATACTCAAAATTTGCTAAGAGAGATCCTCAATGTTTGCAGCGCGCACACACACACATACACACACAGTTAACTATGTGAGGTGACAGATATTTTAAATAGTTTTGTTGTAGTAATCACTTCACAATGTATACTATAGTAAAATATAATGTATACTTTAAACATATAAAAGTTGTATTTGTCAACTATACCTAAACATGACTTAAAAATTAAAAAAATCTAAAAAACTAACAAGAAAGGTTTTCCTTGCCATTTTCTCCCTGCTTATACAAATAAGGGATAGCCCCAAAAAGGTCCAAGGAAGATGTAATACATTCTCACTTCTTTTTTCTCTTCTAAGTTATCAGGTAATGGCCCTCACTAGTCACCCTAAATTTAAACAGAACATAGAATGCTATCTTCTCTTTTGTTTTTGAAAATAAAATATGAAAGACATTCAATTAATAGTTACTATAAGTAACTGACTAATACTCTGTGGGTTAAACTGATATTTTCCAGATTTGTCAGCTCTTTTTGAGTATAAACAGTGACCACAATGCCATTTAACAGTGAACTGATCTTACAAGCAGACTGAAACTGTCCTGAAATGGACAATTCTCATGGCATATTTGTAGAGACGGAAACTCCTTTCTACCCCCAATTGAAATAACTCCACTAAAACGTTTCTTTTAGTTATGATGTAGAAAGTGTGTGTGTGTGTGTGTGTGTGTGTGTGTGTGTGTCTGCATTTGTGTGAAATGATACAGTTCACCCTTTGCCACTTACCTCTGTTTTCTCTGGGTCGCTCCAGTTCCCGTAAACTGGATTGACAAAGGCACAGTTACCACTTCCCTCGGTTTTCCTTAAAGCACACAGGCCATCAAAAAAATTAAAAAATAAAAAGTATTGACATTTACCATAGTACGTTTTCAGGTTATTGTTTGTTAGAAACTTTTGAGACACATTGTCTAGCCAGCACACTTATTTCCATGAATGTATTACCATAAGTAAAGTTAGTTTTTTATTTTTTTTTGCAGGACACCAAGGCAACCACATTCATGAAAGCAAATGTAATTTGAACTCTGAGTATTTAGATCCAAATAAACCCAGGCAAGTAAAAGAAATGGCAAAAGTTAGTAGTCTGAATGTTGATTTCTTAAACTATTACTCAGTGCAAAGCGTCCAACATTAGAAAGAACAATGTAATATGAAGCTGTACTAGTGATAAAGAAAGGTCATCTTGAAATCCTTGACACTGCAAAGTGCCAAACCACTACATCCTGAAGACTGTTTTCCATGACAGTATCTGTCATAAAGATCTGTAGCACATGAGTCATAGTCCTTAACATTTTCATCAGCAAAGTTAAGTACAAGTGTTCTGAAAAGTTCTTTAGGGTAGTGTTTCATGAAAATCAAAAACAGCAAGCCCTTGGTAATATCACATATCAGACTAGATGTGCATAATTCACTATAATTAACTGGGCTCCATATGATTATTTTCCTTTTATACTTAAGAATTAATAGACTTATTAGAAGACACACAGCCCTGGACTACTTGGTGACAACTGATGAAGAAAAAATGTCCATCATAGGAACAACAAAAAATAACCAAAAACTAAAAACACACACACACAAACACACACACGAAATGATCCTATACCTGCCTGTGTATACGTGCACACACACACACACACACACAATGGAGAATGGAAGACCAATTCCAGGATGATTTTTTTAAGGGCTTAATGACAAGAGTAACAAATATATAATGTATGATAACTGTATAATACAATGTATAATGTATGTATAATATATATTTTTTGCCTAATCAGGATATAGTGAAAATTAATGTTTGTCAGTAATATAAGTCCCAAAATAAAATGTACTAAAAAGGAGGCTCTTACTGATTGGATTTCTAAAAACAAACTGCCATAGGCATAACTGCCTATTGTCATCTACCAAACCACATGGTCCTTTTCAAAGAAACTGCAACATCAGTGAGCCTAACAGTCTAATCTGGCTAATTATGTTTGGCTGGCAATATATTTTCCCTGTGGATTCAGTGTCTTTTAAGCTTCCTGATCTCCACTGGCTTAAATATACAATAGATAAAATGTTTCACCCTCACTGCGGGTACATTTTGCTTATTGATGAATCGGGCCATTTGCATCTATTTTGTGGGTTATTCTTGAAAAAAGTCTGAACTGAGGCAACAAATATCTGTTAATTCCTTAAGCACTAATTGAATGCTTATTAGTTGCTCTGATTAATTTGAATAAGTTGTGTTTGACTCTTTGCCTTTACTTTGTTCAAGACTAGTCTACATTAAATTCTTGGAGTAGTAATCTTAGTACACAGCAGGGTTAGCGCATGAGCTGAGCCAGGGATGATCTTAGAGTTGAGACTGGGTAGGGAGTGAAATATAGTTTTGAAATGTATCAAAATACCAAAGCAGGAAAAATTGGACACGGAAGTAGGGATGACCAAAACAAAATAGAAATTAGGAACCAAGTAAAGATAAGACAGCCGCTGACACCAAGAGCTCAGAAAATTAATAGAGGCTGAAATCAGGCATGAAATCAGGAAGCAGGAGGAAACCCAAACCACAGGGCTAGACAGGACAGATGGTCAAAGGCCGAGCATGCAACCAGGAGCTGAAGGGACCAGCTTGGCCATCAGTCACAAGGATGTGAGGCAGAAGCAACACAAAAGATCTTGATATGAAGCAATTATTTTTGGCCTTAAACTGCTGGGACTCCAGATGACCCAGACCATGGTTGGCAGGCAGAAGCCAGGTAAATTTATGTAATTCTCAGCCCTCTTAATTCAATTATTGAAGCTGCTTGTCTTCTGAAAGGGTTTTAAGTCTGAAATAATTTTCCATTAAAATGAAAAAACAGCATTTGAAGGTGTCTGGCCTTCAAGATTTGGGTAACTACAAAGAAGGAAGATATTTAAGAGTAAGGATGTGGAGTTGTAATAAAAGAAGAAAGGGTTTCAGTGTGAGTATTGGGAGGTGAGCAATGGCAAATCCTTCCTACTGCAACTTTTGTTTTTTAGTAGTCTCAAATTGCTTTTATTTTTCCCAGATCGAAGATATATCTCCCATTCTTGAAAATCCCTGGATAATTAGACTTACATTTTAATGTCTTTCCTATTTATTTATAAGGTAAACTATTATAAACACCGTCCACAGATTCTTCCATGAAGGAAATTGCTAATGTCACTCTACATATTTACTATTTCAAGTTCAATACTATGATTTTCCATCTTCATCACCTATGCCAATTTGATATTCAAATACAGGCAATTTTAGTTAGAATGGTGGATCCTTACATGAGGGAAATAAAATGTTTGTTTCATTATAAAGTTTTTGGCCAGTTCTGAAACTCAATGGTGTAATGAAGAGTCTTCATCAGGCCAAAAAAAAAAAAAAAAAAAAAAAGCAATGTTTGACTTACTGTATTTGTCAATATGCTGGTAGCTCTTAAGGAGGAGTTGATTTTTTTTTTCCCTACCAATGAATAAGTGAGTTGTAAGAACTGAGGTTCTAAAGAATATAACCACCTCTAGGAATAATGATGATAAAGGAATTGACTTAGAAATTTTGAGTAGAGGAAAGGAAGTTGCATGGATCATATAAGTTTTTCTCCCTTGACTTATCATGCATTCACATAAATTAAGTTTATCTTAGATCCATTATGTGCAGATACCGTGTGAAGTGGAATTCTGAATGTGCGACAAGAGACATATGTCAGTGCAAAACTAAGATAATTCTGATGGCAATTTCCAATTTTAATTTAGTGAGCATATTTATAGTTCTAATGCAATTCACTTATTAACTGACAACATTGTTTTAGTGTTGATAAAAGCATGGAAGTGTTTATAATAGTCTGAAATTATTACAAATAGGAAGGAAGAAAAGAAGAATAAAACAAAGACCAATCTATGTTACATCCAATACCAATAAACATGACTTTGAGGGGAATGTTTTACATTTTTATTTTTAACAGCTTTATGGAGCTATAAATCACATGCCATACAATTCACAAACTTAAAGATCCAATTCAATGGTTTTCAGTAATGTTACTTTTATTAATTTCTAATTAAGAGTGGTAACCTATATATCACATAAAATTTGCCATTTTAACCATTTCGAGAATACAACTCAATGCCATTAATTCCATTCACAGTGTTGTGCTACCATTACTACTATTTCCAAAGTGTTTTTATCACTCTGAACTGAAACTCCATGGCCGGTAAGCATTAACAACCCATTCCCGTCCAACCAGTCCCAGGTAAACTCTCATCTACCTTCTGTCTTTATGAGACTCTAGGTACTTCATCTAAGTGGAATCATACAGTATTAGTCCTTTTATGTTTGGCTTATTTTACTTAGCATAATGTTTTCAAGATTCATCCATATTGTAGCATGTATCAGAACTTTAATCATTTTTATTGCTGAATAATATTCCATTGGATGTATATGCCACATTTTGTTTATTCATTCATCTGTTGATGGAAATTTGGGTAGTTTCCATCTTTTGGCTACTGTGACTAGTGCTATGGTGAACATTGCTGTATGAATATCTGCTTAAGTCTCTATTTTGATTCTTCGAGGTGTATAACTAGGAGTTGAATTGATGGAACACTTGGTAATTCTTTTTTAACTTTCAAGGAACTACCAACTGTTGATAGTGCTGCACCATTTTACATTCCCACCAACAATGTGAGGGTTTCTATTTCTCCTCATCCTCATTAACACTTGTTATTTTCAGTTTTTAAATTATTATTATTATTGCTATCTCAGTGGAAGTGAATGGTATCTAATTGTGGTACTGATTTTCATTTCCCTAATGACTAGTGATGTTGAACATCTTTTTATGTGCTTATTGACTATATGTAATCTTCTTTGAAGAAATGACTATTCTAGTCCTTTGCCCATTTTGAAATTGGGTTGTCTTTTTGTTCTTAAGTTGTATGGATTTTTATGTATTCTGGATATTAAACTTTTATCAGTTACATAATTTTGAATATTTTCTACCATTTTGCAGATTGTCTTTTCACTTTCTTGATAATGTCTTTTGTTGCCCAAAAGGTTTTGATTCTGATAAAGTCCAATTTACTTATTTATTTTTTGTTGTTGCTTGTGCTTTTGGTGTCATATTTAAGAAAGAATCAATTTCCAAATCCAAGATCATGAAGATTTACCACTATGTTTTCTTTTAAATGCGTTATGGCTTTAGCTCTTACATGTAGCTCTTTGATCCATTTTGAGCTAATTTCTGTATGTGGTGTGAAGTAGGGGTTCCATCTGCATTCTTTTGCATGTCAAAATCCAGTTGTCCCAATGTCATCTATTGAAGAGACTATTTGTTCCCCATTGGATGGACTTGGCATCTTTGTCAAACATTGATCATGATAGATGTATGGGTTTATATTTGAATTTACAATTCAATTCAATTCAATTCAATTCAGTTGATCTATATGTATGTTCTCATGCCTCATGCCAATACCACACAATTTTGTTTACTGTATTTTTGTAGTAAATTTTGAAATTAGGAAGTTTGAGTTCTCCAACATTGTTTTGGCTATCTGGTACCCTTGCAATTTATAAATTTGAGAAGAGGTTTTTCATTTTTGCAAAAATGGCTGTTGGAATTTTCTATAGAGATTGCCTTGAATATGTAGGTTGCTGTATTAGTCTGTTCTCATGCTGCTGTGAAGAAATACCTGAGCCTGGGTAATTTATAAAGGAAAGAGGTTTAATTGACTCACAGTTCCACAGGGCTGGGGAGGCCTCAGGTAACTTACAATCATGGCAGAAGGGGAAGCAAACATGCCCTTCTTCACACAGTGGCAGCAAGAAGTGCAGAGCAAAAGGGGGAAAAGCCTCTGATAAAGCCATCAGACTTTGTGACACCTTACTCACTATCATGAGAACAGCAGCATGAGGGTAAGCACCCCCATGATTAAATTACCTCCCACTAGGTCCCTCTCACGACTTGTGGGGATTATGGAAACTAGAATTCAAGATGAGATTTGGGTGGGGACACGGAGCCAAACCATATCAGTTGCTTTAGTTAGTATTAACATCTTGACAATATTGTCTTCCTTTCTATGAACTTAGTGTGTCTTTCCATTTAGTTAGGTCTTATTTAATTTCTTTCAATAATGCTTTGTGATTTTAAGTGTATAAATCTTTCACTTCACTGGTTAAATTTATTCCCAGGTATTTTATTCTTTTAGATGCTATTATCAATAGAACTGCCTTCAAGATTTCCTTTTCTGATTGTTCATTGCTAGTATGTAGCAATACAACTGATTTTTGAGTGTTGTTTTTATACCTTGTAACTTCTCTGAATTTGTTTATTTGCTCTAGTAGCTGTCTTGTGGATTCTTTGGGATTTCTTATATGTAGAATCATGCCATTTGTGAATACTGAATTTTACGTCTTCTTTTCCAATTTGAATGCCTTATACTTCCTTTTTTTCCCAGTTCCTCTGGCAAAAGTTTATTTTCGATAACCACATTTATCCCTAGCTAAGTGGGGCTATAAAACTTCCTTAATATAAACAATTTTAAAGCTAGTGTATAGGAAAATTATTGTGGCAATGTTTGGACAGTTTCAGGGTAGAATCTGATTGCCACTTAAAGTGAACATCTTTAGACTAGCTAAGTGAATAAACCTTTATCTGGGTTGAAAGGAAACAAAGGTGACAGTGAGACTAGCTGTCACTCCAAATGCTGACGTGTCTAGGACAGCGTGACAGCACAATGTTCCTGCTGAGAGGCCTGTTCTTCAAAATGAACATCCTTTTACACACATTGCAAGTTTGTTAATTTTTAACATACACTTTTATAATTTGTTTTACTGAGTATTTTCACTTTATTTACTAAATTGATTGCCATTTTTGGTGATAAATGAGTGATTTAATTTCTTTATGTTAACTACAGACATGTGTTTGTTTTTGTTTTTGATTTTCCCCCTAATTTACGAGTAAGTCACTTGGTGTGTCTGTAAAACTGCTCCTGCTGCTTAGTGAAATTCACCAAACACCAAGTTTCCACTACCATCTCATGGGAGTAACACTGTGACAATATGTTCATATTTAAAATTAGGTTTAGAAAATATTCAAAGAAAAATGAGCTCAAAACTTTAACTTTTTTTTATTTTTTATTTTTAGAGACAGAGTCTCACTCTGTTGCCCAGGCTTGTATACAGTGGTGTGATCATAGCTCATTGCAGCCTTGAACTTCTGGGCCCAAGTGATCCTCCGGCCTCAGCCTCCTGAGTTGCTGGGACTATAGGTGCATGCCAACACACCTGGCTAATTTTTTAATTTTTTTGTAGAGATGGGGTCTTGCTATATTGTCCAGTCTGGTCTTGAACTCAAAATTCCTGACTTCAAGCAATGCTCTCGTCTTGGTCTCCTAATGCACTGGGATTAGGGTGTGAGCCACTGTGCCTGACATGAGCTCAAAATGTTAGCACAGATTTTTTAAGTGAAAGGGAATACCATTTGTGAGAGTCATGGATGATTATTTCCATCATATCTTGGTGGATTGTGCTATAAAACTTCAGTGTCGAAACCTGTCCACGTGAAAGTATGAAGAATCATACTGACTGAAATTAGGATAATTACAATGCAGGTGTCAAACGATGTTAATGGATAAACAAAATAATTTATCTATCAAAAGGTATTTTCCCTGTATTTCTTGTGAGGAGGCGTTGGTCCTCATGCTTCCATGAGGGAAATGATTTCTAGACATTGTTTGTAAGATGTCAGACAATATCCTAAAATCCCAGACACAATTGTCATGAGTTAAGTGCCTGAAAGGAATTGATGCTCTCCAATGTGGTAACTCACTCCTTCAGATGGTGGAAAGAGAATTTCTTAATGTTACTTATCATTTTTCTTATTTACTTATCGACATTCACCCAACATGTCTAGGACACATACTATGTACCAAACGTTGCACTGGGTCCTAGACTTACAAAGTTGATTAGTATACGGCTCCTACCTCTAGAGCTTTTCAGAGGCTGGCAACTGCTGGTTTCTGTCCTTAGATGAAATGCCATGTTTATAAAGTGCTTATCACAAGTAGGTGCCTACCGATAGTTGAGTGCCATTCTCTTCAACTTCTTTCCTTATGCTTTCCTTCTTTTGTCATTTACATCTTCTTTTAAACTTCCTACTTCTTTCTCCTGAACCCCAAATTTGTGAAATGAAAGGACATTGGTATAAAGAACAATAATAAGGAGGTGTCAAAATTAATAATCACGGTACTACTTTGAACTTTTTCCACCTTTTTTTTTTTTAGAGACATGGTCTTGCTCTGTCACTTAGGCCATAATACAGTGGCATGATCCTAGCCCACAGCAGCCTCCAACTCCTGGGCTCAAGAGATCCTCCTGCCTCAGCCTCCTGACTAGCTGGGACTACAGGAATGTGCTATCACACCCAGCTAATTTTTAAATTTTTTGTAGAGATGACATCTCACTATGTTGCCCAGGCTAGTCTTGAACATCTGGTTTCAAGCAATCATCCCACCTTAGCCTCTGAAGGTGCTGGGATTACAGGTGTGAGCCACCATGCCTAGCATTACTTTTAATTTAAATAAAATAGATTTATTAATTTAGAGCCTGGCAAGAACCTTTGCAATCATCTTGTCTCTGTCTTCTATTACAGATGAAGCAACTGAGATTCTCCCCCAACTAGACTCTAAGTCCTCTGAGGGATAAGGAACATGTCTGGTTTCCTCATCTCTCTGTCACAGCACCTTGTGAAGGCCTGGAAGACAGTAGGAATCAACTGAGTGTTTGTAGAAAGAATGATGATAATTATCTATGGTCTAAAGGTTTAGTGATGAAATGAAGCCCACTAACTTCTCTCTGCTTATTTCCACCCTCAGTGATATATTTCCTCAACCCCCACGGAGGAAAGACAATTCATTTTTTACTATTGTTCAATAGAGCCATGTTTGTATGTAGCTTCCTGTTCTGCTTGGCCCAAGACAGTAAGTGGGTCAGGAGTACCCTCTGCCCTCTGTTTTTGTTTTGTTTTGTTTTGTTTTTCTTTTTCCATTCCTTTTTCACCTGCTTAAGTGGCAGCCCAGAGTAGCTTGGAGGCTTCCCTGAAGATGAGCAGAGTACAGTAGATTAGGCATGGCCTTTCTATTTATTTCTACTATGGAGAAAATGAAAAAGTTATATGGCTGGAAAGAAAAATCACCTGAGTACTAATTTGTTATTTTACAATATTTGAAAAATAAAGACCTGTGTTCCTCCTATGTATTTCTTTTAAACAATGAGGGGTATGGAACATCTATGCATAAACATCAAGGTCTTCAAGTGAATTTTCAGGCTGTGAAGAGTTTGATTTGTTACTACTAGGGAGAGATGTTTCCTAACCATAAAAATGCATGTGACTTTTTTTTAAAGGCTGCATCTAAATTATGTAAGACAATAATTTCACTAGTGGAAATAGAATTCATTTATTCTGGAGTCATGCCTATTACATTTTATTTCGTTTAGTGTAATTAATGGTGAATCTGAGTTGTCCCAGGGAAGTAAATCTTAATTCTCCTCTTCCTACTTCCACCTCTCTCATTTTAAAGTCTTCAATTAGTTTTCCCCAAATGTTTCCAGTCTTAAGATTTAAGGAATTTGAAGACTTTCCCAATGATCTAATCTTCCAGATAAAAGGAAAATACAATACAGCATTCCAATCAAAATAAAATATTCCTGGGTTTGTTTTTAATTATACCTATTTTTAATGTTCATTAAATATATTTCCCACTGCCAAGAAGAGATCTTTTTAGAAATGCTTGTTTCTTAACCAGGGTACTGTTTTCTTCTTCTTCTTCTTCTTCTTTTTTTTTTTAAACTTTGTCTCATCCTAAAAATCAATGAGCAATGTTCTTTAATTTTTTTTTTCTTCCCTGGCTTTATAACCTAAGGAAATAGGTTTTGTGGTTTGTTTACTTGTTCATTTTTCACTTGCAGTAATCATGAGAGATTGGTGCCCTGTGTTTCCAATGTAACGCTCGGTCTCAAATGATTCAATGTATCATCTTTCTTTTCTCAAAACCTTAAAGTGTTATTTTACACCTGCTCTCTGATCATTTACAGTCCATTTTTTAGCCTGTTTGAATAGACTGGTTTTTTCAAGGAAAGTAATCATAAATTTTAATTTTAGGCACTATTTTGTCCTTTTTGTAATAAAGACTGATTTATAGCATTTTACAAAAACAATAGCACAGTAAAACAACAGAAAACAGATAAGAAGTAGGTAGGAAGTTGGAGAAAGGGAATCTGAGAACAGGAAAATAGAATTAAGGCAAAGGTAACAAGATGGACAGTTCATGAAATGGCTATCATCGGAGTATGTATATTTATTAGAGGCAGGACGCAACTTAAACTTTAAGATTCTAGAAATCAAATTTAAGCAGGACAATCAATTACGCAGGCTATAATTTCAAAAAGAAACAAACCAGATACTTAGAAGCACTTTTTCTCTAACTCAAGAGATAAAGCATTTATTGTGTGGATCCTGTTACTGCAATCTAATGTTACAAAGTAACACGTCCCTAACCACGTTATTTTAGGAAAATCAGCAAAGGGTCACACTAGGTTGTTTCAACGAATACTTTTCAAACATCAAGCTGAAACGATGCCAAGATGTGCTTCAGTAAAAGCTACCCAGAAAGTGTTGGCAAGGAGGGAGGGGAGATTTTATGGAGATCTTGAAGCACAACAATGCCTTAGAGAATTTGATTTTGGGGGCATTTTCATATATTCATGTTTATCATAAAAAAGTCAACACCAAGCTTATAATTTATAGTGCATCATTGCAGTGTAACACATGAGATCTGTTATAGAAGTCTACAGGTAGAAAAATGACTTTGTGCACAAAGTCATAAGGTAATAGAAGAAATAAGTTGAGTCTATGAAGTCAACCTATTCTCATTGAGTGTACACTCCCATAAAATACGATGTTATCTGACTACTGCTGAGAGAGAGAGAGAGACAGACAGACAGACAGACAGAGAGAGAGAGAGAGAGAAATTAGAATGTAAATAGCAAACTATCTAATGGTCTCTATTCCTGTCAAATGATGATTTTTTTTTTTAAAATAAACAATCTGGAGGAAAAGAAAGAAAGAAAAGAAGCCAATTTGAAAAAGCAACGATACATTAAGGGGAAATGTCTATGAGCTCACATTTTCATTCCAACTCCTTGTTCATTTCAGGAACAAACTGAACCAAATGTTTGGGTGAAAAAGTTCAGAAAGAACTGGGTTTGCAAACACAACCAGAAATGCCACAAAAGGCAGAGGAAAAGATTCATCACCCAGGGTCACAAAACCAAACAATTGGAACACCAAATTTTGCTAAACTCATTCACATGATACAGCAGTTGCTTTATTTTTCTTCCACTCTTTTCGGGCAGGAAATAAATATGCTGACCACAAAACCGTCACTGTTTAAGCAGTCTTGCTGTGGCAGAGCATTTTAATGGGAACATGCCCAGGAATATGGAGGCAATTAGTAGGAATAAGGCTGACCCAGGTTTCTGTAATTTAACCTTAAAGAAAACCCAGGCTGCCAATGGGAGCTCCGTCTTCACTTCTCAAGTGCAGTGTTAGCAAATTCACAACCACCTAATAGAAACCAGATGCCTAGCAGGAAAGTTCCTTTGGAAATATATTTGATAGTGTATATATATTTTATATATATATATATTTTTTTCTTTTTTTTTTTTTTTTTTTGGACAGTGTCTTGCTCTGCTGCCCAGGTTGGAGTGCAGTCGTGGGATCACAGTTTGACCTCCTGGACTCAGGCAATCCTCCCTCCTCAGCCTCTTGGGTAGCTAGCACTACAGCCATGTACCACCATGACCAGCTAATTTTTTGTTTGTTTGTTTTGCCGAGATGAGCTCTTGCCGTGTTGCCTTGAGCTCCCGGACTCAAGCAATCCTCCTGCCTCGGCCTCACAAAGTGCAGGGATTACAGGCCTTAGACACAATGCCTGCCCTAACAGCACATTTAAAAAATATGTCTTGACCTAGTAAAATTATTGGAGTCAGTCTTTAGGTAATAATTACAGAGAAAGACAAAAATGCATATAGAAAATGGTTCATCACAAATTATCAATAATAATGAAAAATTAGATGCAAGCTCAATGTCTAATAGGAGAATGGTTAAATGACGATCCATGTACTTGACACATCAACCTTTTCAAGACATACTTTAAAGAATATTTAGTGGTATAGGGCTATGATATGGTTTGGATATTTGTCCCCTTCAAATCTCATGATGAAATGCGATCCCTAATGTTGGAGGTAGAGCCTGGTGGGACCTGACTGGATCATGGGGGCAGATCCCTCAGGAAAGGCTTAGCGCCACATCCCCTTGGTGATGAGTGAGTTCTTGCTCTGAGTTCATGCGATTTGGTTGTGTAAAAGTGTGTGGGACCTCCTTCCAGTCTCTTTTGCTCTTGCTCTTGCCACATGATGTGCTTGCTCCTGCTTCGCCTTTTGCCATTAGTAAAAAAGCTCCCTGATTCCTCCCCAAGAGCTGAGTAGATGCTGGCACCAAGCTTCTTATACAGCTTGCAGAATTGTGAGCCAATTAAACCCCTTTTCTTTATAAATTATCCAGCCTCAGCTTCAAGTATTTCTATTTCTCCTTCTTTCTTCCTTCTTTCTTAAATGATTGATTGATGAGGTTTTGTTTGTTTGTTTGCTATATTGCAGAATGAAATGGGTCAACTGACATACTGCATAAATCAGTGAACCAATATTTTCTAAATGTAACATGCATGATACTACAAAATCACACATAGGTAAGTGATCCATTCAAAGTGAAAAATAGACCAGTGAATTTTTAATGTAACAGTTCAAAAATTCTATGGATGTGGTTTCAGATTCTGCATTACAACTGCATTTGAAGAAACTACCCCATGTAAAGTTTTGGTGTAATAGAAAAGTATCAATAATTATCTCAAAAGCTAGTAAAATACACCTTCTGTATTTTTCCATTCTTGCATTGCTATGATGAAATACCTGAGACTGGGTAATTTATAAAGAGATGAGGTTTAATTGGCTCACAGTTCTGCAGGCTGTACAGAAAGCATAGTGGCTTCTGTTTCTGGGGATGACTAAGGAAATATACAGTCAGGTGGAAGCAAGCATGTCTCACATGGCTGGGGCAGGAGCAAGAGAGAGTGGGGGCAGGTGCCATACAGCTTTAAACAACTAGATCTCACAACAACTCACTCACTATCAGTAGAACAGCACTGGGGGGATGGTGCTAACCCATTAATGAAAACTCTGCCCCCATGATTCAATCACCTCCCACCAGGCCCCACCTCCAACAATGGGGATTACAATTTGAGCTGAAGTTTGGTGGGGACACAGATCCAAACCATATCACTTCCTTTTTAAAAATACGTATCTGTGTGAGGTTGAATGTGGTTCATATATTTCAACAAATCAAGATAATGGCTTTAATGCAGAAGTGGATATAAGAATCCCACACTAGCTCTCACGAAAGGTTTGTTTTAGTTGGAGTAGTGATATGATTTGGATGTCTTGTCCCCTTCAAATCTCATGTTGAAATGTGAGCTCCAGTGTTGGACAGTGGGCCTACTGGGAGGTTTGGGCCATGGGGGCAGATCCCCCGTGAAGGGCTTAGTGCTACCCTTGCAGTAATGAGTTCTCACTCTATGAATTCATGAGAGATCTAGTTGTTTACAAGAGCATGGCACCTCCTCCCTCTCTCTCGATCACCCTTGTCATGTGATGCGCCAGTTTCCCCTTTGCCTTCTGCCATGATTGTAAGTTTCCTGAGGCCTCACCATAAGCAGATGCTGGCATCATGCTGTTTGTACAGCTTGCAGAACCGTCAACCAAATAAACCTCTTTTCTTTATAAATTACCCACCCTCAGGTATTTCTTTATAGCAATGCAAATGGACTAATACAAGTAGCTTTGTTCTACTAAGCACTGTGGGTTCAAATATGAATAAATACTTATTTATTTGGCTAACATATACTTCTCCTTTGATAAATTTTTGCTAGTTACCTGTTGTGGAAATATTTTTTTCTCTCTCTTTCTTCAACAAATGTGATATCCCAAAGCCCCACAGTTGCTAAAGGTCACTTTTAAATAGAATGTTATATTTCTCATATATATATATGAATGTTACATTTCATATATATATGAATGTTACATTTCATATATATGTATATATACACCATATACTTTAAATATACAAATATGTTTTCATAATAGGTTATAATGGATATCTTGTCACTTAAAAAGCTATTAATAAATATAATTGTATATATTTCTTAGTTTAATTTCATATATGGTAAGTCTTAATAGGTATAAACCACCTTAAGAAAACTCTTTGGGGTCTTCAATAAGTTTTAAAGGTGTGATGGTATGTTTAGACCAAAATGTTTGAGAATGGTCAGTATAGCGAAATAAGGAGAAATAAATTTCACAGCAATTTCAATTTTAAGAGGAAAGAGTGCATGTACGTATTTATACATTGATAAAAGTTCAAAAGAAGATACATCAAAATGTTAACAGTATGTAACTCTGGGTGATGAGATTAACCAACATTTTAAATTCTTTTAAACCCGTGTAGTTGGATTTCCCAAGTTCTATTTATGTGTCAGTTGTGCATTGGAATCTCAGGGTAGGGGTGATAGTTTCACAATTTGGAAAGATCACAAGATGTGTCCCCAACTTGAGCTCCCCACCTCCACCCTGCCCACACACCTTGTAGGACATTTGCCTAAATAAAAGATGAGATCTGCACGCCTCATGATTTTCACGTTCCCTGTTTTGCTGATTCCCCTCTTTTATCATCTCTTCTCAAGCTACATCCTAGCCCTGCAGTACTACTCACCACTTTTTGGATGTGTCACATTGATACGGCAGGGGGACAGGGAAGAGCTGGGTAGAGAAGGGCAAGTCCCTGGCGAGGGCTCCACCCCCAGGACTGTGCCAACGGACCTAGGTGAGGACAGGCATTTCTGTGTTCTTGCCCAAATGTTGCATTTCCCAGACCATCCTGGCCTGCCAAGCCCCCATCCTGTGCCTATAAAAACCCCGAGACCCTAGCGGGCAGACATACAAGCAGCTGGATGTCGAGAGGAACACACTGGTGAAAGAATACCCAAACAGATGTCAGTCAGCAGAAGCCGGTAGACGCTGGCAGGCCGACCAGCAGAACGAGGCGGAGTTTGGCCGGGGTGGTTGGAGGAGGGCCCGGCCACTGGGCAGCCTTACTCCAGGGGAAAACCACCTTCCCAATCCATTCCCTTCTGGTTCCATCATCTGAGAGCTACCACCACTCAATAAAAACCCTTGCACCCATCCTCCAAGCCCAAGTGTGACCCGATTTTTTCCAGTACACCAAAGCAAGAATCCAGGAAACAGAAAGCCCTCTGTCTTTGCCATAAGGCAGAGGGTCTAATTGAGCTGGATAACACAAGCCGCCTACAGACAGCTAAACTGAAAGAGCATACTGTAACACACGCCCACTGGGGCGCTGTAAAAACTCAACCCCAGACACTGCTGTGGGGTCGGATCCCCACAACTTGCCTGTCTGCATGCTCCCCCTAGAGGTTTGAGCAGTGGGGCACCGACGGAGCGAGCCCCACACACCCATTGTACGCTCTGCAAGAGGGATAAGGGGACTTTTCCCACTTCAACATTTTTCTTAACTCTTGCATTTGCTTTTGAATGCCTTTCTCATTGGCCAGAACCTCTGCCAACTCTGGAGTCAGACTGACCACTTCTCTGCATGCTACTGTGCATTGTGCATTTTACCATGATGACGAGTAGTACTTTCTCTCCTTGCAATAAAATATTTTTCCAACTAGATTGCTCTATATGCAAACTCACTCTACTTTCCTTATTATATTCTCTTAGACATATAATCTCTTGGGTTGAAAATGAATTGCAATACCGCTGTCTTTGTGATTGCCCTTAGCAACCACCTAACAACTTGCTTCTTAAATATTTTTCAGACAATTAAAAGTTGATAACCTATGTAAGAATCTGTCCAGAAAAATGGACTTAGTGGCATCAATTTATTTACATTCATGTCTCTTGAAGATTAACTTCCCATGGGCGGAGCCAAAGTCTTTATTTTCCCAGCTTGCTTAGGAAACATCATTTGAGCTCCAACTATATGCCTTATCCCCTACCACAGAGCTACTCAGAGTGTGGTTTATGTATGGTTTTGGTCTTATCTGGATATGGTTCCAGGATCAGATAAGTATAAGAACGGAGAATATATGTTTAGAAACATTCATAGCAATTTGACAGAGTAATTTTATGTCTGTTGATGATAAGAATAAGAAAGTTGGACTAGTATTTTTTGTCTTTTTATTTCCTGTTTCTTTTTTTGTGTGTGGTTTTAAGGACTGGAGAGTTTAACAGGCAAGAAAGAAGGAAGAAGGCAGAAGGAAGAAGACAGAGACAGAGGGAGGGGGGCTCCTCCAAAGCCAAAAGAGGAGACCCCCTCTTTATTTCTTTTTCCTAAGAATTCTTTTTTATTATATTTTACAAAACATTGGTATATAATGGATTGGAAACAAAAACAAAAACAGAGCTGTTCCTTCAACACACATCATTTGAGTGGCTCTGTTCTATTGACACAGACATGAGTAAATATTGACTTACCTGGTTGACTTCTTTTTTTCATTCAGCATGGTTTTGCTAGCTATCTCTTCGAAAAATATTCTTTTATCTTCCTTTCCCCTTATGAATGTGATATCTCCAAGTTTCCACGGTTGGAAAGGTCCAGGTACTGTCTAACCTTCTCTGACCAGAAGGAAATATTTTTTCCTTGCAAATTACTCTATATGAAAACTCACTATAATTTTCTTATTGGATTATTTTAGACACATAATCTGTTTAATTGAAAACTAATTCAATGTTGAAGTTAATTATCAGCTTTCATGATTTCCCTTAGCAATCACCTAGCAGCTTCCGTTTTCCTAAATATTTTTAGACGATTTAAACTTAATAGCCTTATGTAAGAATCTGTCTAGAAAAATGATCTTACTTCATTATGACTCCTGAATATCCACAAATTCCTTCACATATATCTCACTTTGGGTTTATTAATACATTTAAACTGTTCTGAATCTATGAACAATTTCAGCTTTCAGGACAATGGAAACATTGAAAAAGGCAATAAAACTGCATTTTCTTGTAGTTATTTTTAAATATTCTATTTAAAAACAAATTATAGGCATACAAAGATACAATTAGGATTTTGTTTGGTTTCTTAAAAGTGATCTTTCTCTATTAAACTCCTAGTCAATTGCCCACTATTTTTTCATCCATGACCTGTGTTCTGTTCACACTAACCATGCAATTCTGAAGCTGACTCAAGTGTTTCATAGAGCTGATGTTTATGGTTTCTTTGACTAAACATAGAAATTGATATTTGTCTTATTTGAGTTCCTTTCTCAGGAAACCAACCATCAGGCCTCCCAGATAGTATTGAGGACCTGAAACTCATCAGACGACTGGATCTGGACAGTGAGATGTCAGACCCCTCACCCATTACGATTTTCCAACTGACCACCTGCTCCCTGTTGACCAGCTCCTCTTCCTTACCCCTCTCTAATTCCTGTTTTCCCACAGATGGTTATATTTCTTCTCTGCTAATCCCTGATTTTAATTAGTCAGGGAGATGTATTTGAGGCTGATCTCCCAACTCCTTGGCTACAGTATCCCATTAAAACCTTCTTCCCTGGCAATACTTGTTGTCTCAGTGATTGGCTTTCTGTGCAGCGAGCAGCAGGGCCTAGACCAAACCCCCGGTATTTCAGAAACAATTCCCTATCACAGTCTGTGCCATACACATGTACACAGGCTGCTCTATTTTGGGGGATGGTCTTCTTTGACACTTGGTGGATTTCAATCCATGAGTCCAGGTTGGAGTGATACAGCACCTCTGCAGCAACCCTTTCTCAACCTTCCATAGTACCATTACCTTCAAACCAAAGACTGTCTCTCCTCTCCCAGTGCTTTCTATGAAGTGCCTGTATATGTTTGATATATGCTTACTGCAGTGCTGAGATTATTTGCTTTTATATATACCTCCGCCATTAGAGTATAAACTACTATTTATTCTTATATTCCTAGCCCCTAACACAGTGACTAGCAAATAATAAGGGCAGATGTTTGCCAAAAAAAAAAAATAGAATGAATTGCTAAGAGTTTCTGATTTATGTGTTTCTTTCTTTGAAAAGATGAAAATAAAGTGGTCTTTGAAGAACTTTGATTCATTAGTGAGCTTGAAAACCAAACACAAGAAACAGATTGTGGAAGTTGGAAGAGGGTCCCTAAGGATGCATTTAAGGAGAAATGATGTGACAGAAGATTTGAAAGTAAAAAAAGAGTCTATCAGGAAGATAAGAAAGCAATTATTAAACAAAAATTAAGATGCCGATCTCCCTCCCAAGTTTCTAACCTTCGGTAACATGATTGATTCACACTAGTCAAAGATGCTGAATATATTTGCTGCATGCCATTGGAAAACTATATAACTTGAAACTAATAAAGCACCTCACTTCTCTTTACTGTCTTTCTTCATTTACCCAAGTCACCTCTTTTAAGAGCCATCTCTGATTTGGCTACAGCACATTCATCTACACTGATTGCTTGTACAAGGAAACAGTGCAACCCAGAAATGTCAGAAACTGAAAGGTTGTCTTCTTGCTGTGTAAGATTTACTGTGAACGGAGGGAGGATGCTGAAATATGCTACAACCGTCGCTCCAGGGACAACCTCTGCCAAACAGAGATATTATACTGACGAAATGATAATGGTGAAATAGCTGACAGACCAAATAATTAGAATATGGAGCCGTAATACAGTAAAGTAGTCTTCATATATTTTATATAGTTTGTATTGTTCTATAGATTGTTTGGAGTTTGTGTCCAATGAAAATGGATTAAGAACAACCTGGGATACTCAGCAATAACAACACACAAACACGTGTATACACACCAATGAAGCTTGCGTTATTCAATAAAAGTGTTCCTGATACATTGCATGTAAACTGATTTTGTATGGTCGAATAATATCTTAAATGATGAAGGAATTCATTAAATAAATATGAGATATTAGTTAAAATACATGTGAAATTTTAAATCATGTTCCATCAGTAAATACAATTATTACTTTTTAAAAAAGGGTTCATTATGCACTCATTTCTCTAAGAAAAATAATGCAAGAGTGACATCCTTATTAGTAAAATTGGTAAATAGGTTGTCAGCTGCCAGGCACTGCTTTTCAGGAACTTAGGGGCAGAATCTGTCACACATAGACATCCAAATTAAATAGTCTCAAGTGAGGGCAATATTGGAATGACTGAGCACAGTCCCTCTGCTTGTTTTGTTTTGTTTTGTTTTTCAGATAGGGTCTTGCTTTGTTGCCCAGCCTGGAGTGCAGTGGTGTGATCATGGCTCACTACAGCCTCCAACTCCTGGGCTCAAGCAATCTTCTCTCTCAGCTTCTGATTTTGCAACTGCCCAACATGTCATTTATAAAATTCCCACAATGTGTTAGGGAAGATGCAAGACATGCCAATGGTGTCCCTACTTTCCAGAGATTTTTCAGCAAATAGAATTACAACACATGAGCCCCAGACTTTGTTGTTTTAACCATCAGCCTGTTGTGTAGTTAAGACCAGCATACAGATAAAGTTGCCGAGTGTTTCATCTAATCGTGAATTGTAAATTAGGCATCTTTTTAATTTTTAAAATGAGCATTAACTCTTTCAGGGAGTTGTAATGCAAAGATAAGTGTAGAGCACTACTCAGTCAAATTAAAGACACCCTTATAGCTGAAAGATTTAACGCCGAGTTACACTGCAACTAGGGAATACTTAGGACCCAAAAGAACTAAGCTCAATATTCTGTTTAAATCATAGAATTTCAGAGCTGGGAAAGAACCGTAAAATAATTTATTATTTCCCATTATGTTGTTGGAGTGAATGGCTCATAAAAGATAGTAACTTTAGGCAACACAAAGATTATAATTTTATAGTTAAATTTCATATTGAAAGTATAATGAAAAAAATACATATTTAGACAGAATCTTGCTCTATCATCCAGGCTAGAGTGCAATGTCCAATCTCCAATCTTAGCTCACTACAACCTTCACCTCCTGGGTTCAAGCAATTCTCCTGCCTCAGGCCCCCAAGTGGCTGGGACTACAGGTGCGCGCCACCATGCCTGGCTCATTTTTGTATTTTTTTAGTACAGATGGGGTTTCACCATGTTATCCAGGTTGGTCTTGAACTCCTGGCCTCAAGTGGTCTTCCCACCTTGGCCTCCCAAAGTGCAGGGATTACAGGCATGAGCCACAGCGCCCAGTCATAATGGAAATATTTATAAATGGCACATCAAACCCATGACTTCATGAATATTTTTGCTTAGGAAAGAGCAAAGAAGTCAATTTAAAAAATGAGAGAAGAAAAAAAAAGGTGGATCCATGTTTCCATTCAAAAATAAATGTGGCTGGCTGGGTGTGGTGGCTCATGCCTGTAATCCCAGCACCTTGGGAGGCTGAGCCGGGCGGATCACCTGAAGTCAGGAGTTCCAAGACCATCTTGGCCAACATGGTGAAACCCCATCTCTACTAAAAATACAAAAATTAGCCGGGCATGGTGGCGGGAGCCTGTAGTCCCAGGTACTCGGGAGGCTGAGGCAGGAGAATGGCATGAACCTGGGAGGCGGAGCTTGCAGTGAGCCGAGACTGCGCCACTGCACTCCAGCCTGGGCGACTGAGCAAGGCTACGTCTCAAAATAAACAAAAATAAAAACTCAGTGTGACCCGGCATGGTGGCACAGGCATGTGATGATCCCACTACTTTGAGAGGCCCCGGCGGGAGAATCACTCGAGCCCAGGAGTTTGAAACCAATCGGGACAATATAGCAAGACCATGTCTACACACACACACACACACACACACACACACACACACACAGAGCTGGGAGTGTTGGTATATGCCTGTGGTCCCAGCTATGAAGGAGGCTAAGGGGGGAGAATTGCTTGAGCCCTGGAGTTTGAAACCAATATGGACAATATAGCAAGACCATGTCTGTACAAAAAAAAAAATAGCTGGGAGTGTTGGTACAGGCCTGTGGTCCCAGCTATGAAGGAGGCTAAGGTGGGAGATTGCTCGAGCCTGGGAGGTTGAGGCTGCGGTGTGCCATGATTGTGCCCTTGCACTTTAGCATGGGCAGCAGAACAAGACCCTGTCTCAAAAAAAAAAAAAAAAAAAAGAAAAGAAAAAGAAAAGAAAAGAAAAAGAAGGTAAAATTAAAAAAAAAAAACATCATAACATCATATGTAGTCATGGTCTAAATTGTGAGAGTGGCCTATAAATGACAGAAGTTTGGATAAAACTGATTCATGCCAACTTCCTCATTCTATGCATAAGAAAATACACATTATAAAATAATTTCCTTCCCTACTGCCCAAATAAGCTTTCCTCTTCAGTTTTCAGATCTCAGCATTATCAGCTGTGCAGTCATCTAAGTATGATACTCCGGGATCATCTTTGATGCTTACTTTTTCATTTTTTTTCTCACTTCCTGTATTAAGTCAACCACTGCTGCTCAGGTTCAAGTCCTCATCATCTCTCATCTAAGTCTTTTGAACAGGCTTATGCCCTCTAGACTGAAAATCTCTTTCTCAATCTTTTAAAATCTATTCTCACGCTCCGTGTTCTTCTCTTAAACACAGACATGCTCTTGTCTTCTTCTGCTTGGTACACTTGCCTTGTTCATATCAGTTAGGGCCCTAGCAGGAACCAGCTGACATACTTAAACTGGAAAATTTGAGATTTTTATGAAGTGGCAATTTACGAAGGTGTGGCCAGAATAAAGAGAAATCATAAGTGATGTGCATTGTGCTGGGCTAATAATATCAGGCCTGTTACCACCTTAAGCTGGAGGGAAGAAGAAAGAGAAGGAGAAGAAGGAAGAGGAGGAGGAGGAGGAAGAAGAAAGGAAGAGGAGGAGGAGGAAGAAGAAGAAAGGAGGAGGAGGAGGAAGAAGAAAAGAGGAGGAGAAGAAGGGAGGAGGAGGAAGAGAAGGGAGAAGTAGAAGAAAGGAGGAGGAGGAGGAGGAGGAAGAACAAAGGAGGAGGAGAAGGAGGAGGAGCAGGAGGAAGAGGAGGAGAAAGGGTTATTGGAAGTTGTCAGTGTAAGGGTATGCTGAGAAACCTGTCGCTCCAAGCAGCCAGCTAGAATTAGGTTGCAGGAAGGAATCCAGGGTTATGAATATCCAGTTCTCCCTCTTTTTCCTGTCTCAAGGTGCTCCAGTTTGGTTAAACATAAGGCAAATTCAGAAGACAGGGGCCCATTAATGAAATTCGTAAAAGCCAGCTCCTAGATACAACTGCTATCCTTCTCTGTCTTGTTCAGTGGACAATGGGTGGAGGGTGGATCTGAGAGGGAGACAGGAGACAACACTCGGCCTTTTTTTTTTTTTTTTTTTCCTTTTTAACAATAAATTACAGGCGGTGGCTCATGCCTGTAATCCTAGCACTTTGGGAGGCTGAGGTGGGCAAATCACCTGAGGTCAGGAGTTCGAGACTAGCCTGGCCCACATGACAAAAACTCCGTCTCTACTAAAAATACAAAAGTTAGCCAGGCGTGGTGGCAGGCACCTGTAATCCCACCTGCAAGGGAGGCTGGGGAGACTGAGGCAGGAGAATCGCTTGAACCTGGGTCCGGGGGGGGGGTGGGGGCAGAGGGTGCAGTGAACTGAGATCATGCCACTTCACTTCACTCCAGCCTCTAGCCTGGGCGAAAGAGCGAAAGTTCATCTACATAAAATGAAATAAATGAAAATCTCTTTTGTTAGCTTTCAAATGCCTTAACCACGTCTCTACAACATACTCTCTGGCTGTGTTCATCGTTTTTGAAACCATAAGTTTCTGCATTTTCTTTTGTTTTCTTGAACTCCCTTTCCACATCTCTACCAGATTTCTCCATCCTTCAGATCTCAATCCAAGTGCTATCTCCTTTTATAGCCCTGTGAATTCATCCATCCAAATTGCTGGCTCTCCAGTATCCATTGCCTTCAAGTCATATATCAAGGTGCACCTCTAATTTGACTCTGAACAAGGAGTTCTAACTTTATGAAATCTCTGAAAAAAGGGTAAGGGGTAGAATGTTTTATGGGTGGAATAAATAATGACTGGCTTGAAAGAAATGCTTTCTTTCCTTTGAAGCCTCTCTTGTGGGCTTTTTTTTTTTTTCTTCCAACTATTGCAGGACATGAGAACAAGGTCTAGGTCTAGGGATTAAGGAAAAAAATCAGAGATCAGGCTGTTTAGGCTTCTCTTTTAAAATAGAAAAGAAGAAAAAAGGAGGAGGAGGAGGAATAAGTGGTGCAGGAGGAATAGGAAGAGGAGGAGGAGGAGGAGGAGGAGGAGTAGGAGGAAGAAGAGGAAGAGGAGGAATCCCATTGGTGGCCTAACCCTGTTTTTAAGGGTAAGATCTCAAAATCCTGTTCTCAATTTCCCTTTTCTGGCTCAAAGTTAACATTTAGCAGGATTGTCAGAGCATGGCCAATATATGCACAAGGGACTAGGATTTGGGAGTGAGGTTTGTGGATCTCAAACTGTGAGAACAGCTTTACTTCTTGTAGGCGAAGGCACATGTGGACACGTGGAGAGAGTAACAGTTTTGCAAGCATTATGAGATGACCTCGGCCACTGTGCTAGTGAAATTCCAGTCTGCTAAGGCTAAGTATTTCTGGGACCAGGACAGGCTCGCTTGTGACACTGTAGCTGCAAAAGCAGCTGTATGCCTTGAGGCACAGAGTAAGCAAGATTTTGATTTTTGCTAAGGATAAATATTCGTCAGTGGGTGCAGGCTAGGCCTATCTAGGATGTCAGGCTTGGATAGCAGCTAAACTTCTGCCTTTAAGGATTCACATTATCATACAATGTTTGCAGTGAGAAAGGGTCTGATACAGAGATTATAATAATGCAAGAATATATATTTCATTTGGGGCCAGGGCCAACCATTCAAGAATCTCAAACAATGTTCTGTACCTCCCATGGGTTAGCTACTCCAAGATTTGGGATCCTAATCACCTCTCTTTCTTTCTTTTTTTGTAGAGACAGGGTTTTCTCATGTTGCCGTGGCTAGTCTTGAACTCCTGG